TATAAATGATGAACCGAATCAGGGATATTATCAAACACCAATATAAATACACTGTCTTTGTCTACGATCTGTATCCATTGAACATTACAACAACTAAACGAGAGAAAAAAACCAATGAAAATGACATACACACACACACACACAAACAAAACAGATCCAAAATGATCCAACAAATACAGAAACGTTGTTGTCGTTATAATGATGATGATTATTATTAGTTTCACTACAAAACCGAAACAAAACAGAATTTTTTTGTTTTTTGGTTCTTGGTTGACAATGTTTAGAATCGTTTTTTTTTCATCCTGGTTATTCATTGCATTGATTATGAAGTAAAAAAAAACATTCAAAACACGCATCATTCGATGAATAACTAAATGTTTTTTTTCATCAATTCTACCACTTTCTGTTTGCTGGTGAATAAGAAACTTTCATCTGGGAAAAAAACGCACGATACACGAGCAAAAACCTTAAACCAGTAAAGCTAATTTAAATTCAAATTTGAAATCTTCGATTTTGATGATGACGATTTTCGTTTTCTATTCTGTCCTGAAACCAATAACATTCGACATGATGATGATGATGATGATGATGATAAAACAGTAAATTTATTTTTTGGCAGTTTATATTGACAACAAACAAGAGAACAGATTTTCCATTTTCTTCTTATTTTCAATTCGTTCGTTCGTTCGTAATTTTAGCTTTCTTTCTATAGCATCTATTTGTTTGTTTACAAAACAGACAGGAAAACAAAATAAGACAAATGACTCAATAAATTCTATATTAGCATCAACTACAAAAGTGTTTTTTTTTCGTTCAGTTCAGTTCAGTTCGTTAAAAATTAGTTTCAAGTCATCGATACTTTTTTCATTCCATCCCAGTTGTTTTTGTTTGTTTTGTTTCAATTGTTGATGCCTGAATATATAGACCTATTCGGTCTAGATTTTTCATTTCATCAATTCAATATATTGAACTGATTGTTTTTATGGTCATGTTTATGTCATGAAATGGATATTTTGTTTTTTTTTCATTCTTCGGCAAAAAAAAACATTAATCGTCTATCTATTTGGTTCGAAAGAAAGTGGCTACCAAAAAATAAAATGTCATTAATTCTTTTTGTTCTTTTGTTGTTGTCATGTGTTGTCTAAGAAGTGTTTTTTTAAGAGAAAAGAAAGTTATTGACTTTTTTTTCGTGATGATCTTTCGATTTTTTTCGGTTCTTCCGAATAGTAATATCGATTGTTATTTTCATTTGACACATAAATATAATACCTTTGGTTCAATTAAATTGGAATTCAATTCGAATCGAATAAGAAAATCAAAATGGTTTTGTTTTCTACTTTTGTGTTCATTAGTCAACCGAAAATAAACACATCTGGTATCATCATTATTATCATTGTTTTATGTTGCTGTTGTTGTTTTTTTGAAATTTCTCAAAAATTTTTTCCGTGCTAATTTGGTCACCGGAAAAAAAACAAACAAATAAAATTGATTGACTAGATTGAAAACTTTTTTTTGGACTAATTTTATCATTTGTTTTGTATGTTGTGGTCTAAACCCGGGGAAAACAACATACACAAAGTTGATATCTCAATGTTATCAGTTGTTTCACTATCACTGGAAAACAAAATACACAGTTCACATTTCATTAATCATTGAAATATAAGCCAATGAAATAAACCCGAACACAAATCATCATCGATAGATCATTTGGTGAATCTCATTTAAATCGATTTCTATAGATTTTTTTTTATAGATTATTTTGGCTCCCTGATCGATAATAATATATAGACTATTGCTACTGCATTTGGGAAAAATCATCTTATAGATAACAATCTAGATGAATAAAGAAGAAAAAAAATCAAAACAAAAGCTAAAGATTTTGTTGTTGCTTTGGTTTTTTTTCTTTTGCTTTTTGGTCATTCTGAATAATGTTCTTGCTTTATTCTGTTGTCGTTTTTATTTTTTTTTTTGGTTCCCTATGATATTAATCTAAATGAACATTGTTACCAGAATGACCAAATGTGAATACAATCCACATAGACATCATGATCCAGAAAAGACATCCTCTAGAGATTTAAATGGATGTGTGTGTGTGTGTATGTAAACACAAGTGAAAACATTCTAGCATTAAAATAATAATAAAAAAGAAAAACATAACCCGAATATTACATGATCACATCAACCGACCAACAAACACATCCAGACAATAAGATGTTTAAACATTTCAACCAAAAAAGTTATTTACATGAAATTTTATATACAAACAAAACTTTTTTTCTTTTATCAACAAACCGCTGATCATCATCATCAAATAATATTGTCTTTTGATTTCGTTTTTGTTCTCTTGACAAAATGATGATTTTCAAATATAATATATTCATTATGTACACAAGGAAACAAAGGTAACCACCACCACCACCCAACCTTATGAATAACAAATTTCTGTGATGGCTAATGGTTTAAAGATCATTAGGATCTTCATTATTTGCACACACACACACACACAGTAGTCAATTTGATGACAAAAAAAATGAAGAATCGTAAAAATGTTAGGAAGAAGAGAACTTGTCATAACATTATTATCCAAAAAAAAACCTATATAAATTCTTCAAGTTTTGTTTGTTGTTTTCAATGTAATTTGTATTAATTAACCGATCAAAAATAAAAACCTGCCATGAGAATAGCAGGATGATTCTTTTATCCAAACAAAACACAGAAAAAAATAGTGAATAAATGAAACACTGTCTTTGAGGTTGATATATTCACCCTAGTGTATCCTAAAAATCTTGTCCCATACACACACAATGATAATGATTATGATGTTGAAGACAAAGTAAATACAGAAAAATTTCTTTGTCCAACATTGACATCATAGCATAATATAGCTAACCATCATCATTGTCATCAACTTTTTTTCGGGTATATTCTTGATGTCCATTGTGTTTTCCAAAACAAAAAACTACCATTATCATTTTGTTATATTCGTAATAATGTCGACCTTTTACGAAACAAAACAAAATTTTTTCGTATTTTTCTAATCATTGTCATCATTTTTTTTTTGTTGCTTTGTTATTGGTCAAATATGAAACAATTGGTTTGCAACAACAACAAAAAAAAACTATAATAATAATAATAATGATAATGAAATGGAAACAAACATCGACAACAATATACTTGAAAAACTTGTCTTATTTTTNCACACACACACACACACAGTAGTCAATTTGATGACAAAAAAAAAATGAAGAATCGTAAAAATGTTAGGAAGAAGAGAACTTGTCATAACATTATTATCCAAAAAAAAACCTATATAAATTCTTCGAGTTTTGTTTGTTGTTTGAATGCAATTTGTATTAATTAACCGATCAACAAAAAAAACCTGCCATGAGAATAGCAGGATGATTCTTTTATCCAAACAAAACCCAGAAAAAAATAGTGAATGAATGAAACACTGTCTTTGAGGTTGTTATATTCACCCTAGTGTATCCTAAAAATCTTGTTCCATACACACACAATGATAATGATTATGATGTTGAAGACAAAGTAAATATAGAAAATTTTCTTTGTCCAACATTGACATCATAGCATAATATAGTTAACCATCATCATTGTCATCAACTTTTTTTTTCGGGTATATTCTTGATGTCCATTGTGTTTCCAAAACAAAACAAAAAACTACCATTATCATTTTGTTATACTCGTAATAATGTCGACCTTTTACGAAACAAAACGAAAATTTTTCGTATTTTTGTCATCATTTTTTTTGTTGCTTGTTATTGGTCAAATATGAAACAATTGGTTTCCAACAACAACAACAACAAAAAAACTATAATAATAATAATAATAATGATAATGAAATGGAAACAAACATCGACAACAATATACTTGAAAAACTTGTCTTATTTTTTCATTCAATTCTTTAAATGAATGATAATGATATCGTTTTGTTTTGTTTTGTATTATTATTTCTTGAAACTTCTGGTCATGTTAGTTTCTTGTTTTTTTCAATTTCTTGTTTTTTTACTTTGGCCATAACTGTTTGTTGATGATACGATTGTTTTTCATTGAATATTATGATTGTTTTCGTTTGTTTTTTTTTACCAAAACAATTCTCCACATTATTATTGTTATCGGATATTATATAACAGAGTATATATTTGATAAGTGATAAGTGTGTGTGTTTAAGCTGCTTGAATTGAGAATAATAATTATTAAAGAAAATGATAAAACAACCGAATGTCTGATGATTTCTGATATCCATATCGGATGTTTGTTTGTTTGTTTGTTTATTTTTCATTCCTATCGTGTGATTTATATACAAAACACTAAACTGATCGAAACCAAAAACAATACTGAGAAAAATTTATTCTGAAAATACAGCTATAGGCATTTATAATCGTGTGAAGAAAGAAAGAAAAAAAAACGTGGAAAAAGTTAATCGGGGATTCACAATAAAAAGATCACAGTAAACATATATAAACATTTATAGTTAATATATTCCATAGAATTTTTGATCATAACCAAGAAAATAAAACAGAATTTTTATCAAGTTTATATGGTTTGTTTTATTGATTTTTTCCATAATAACTACATATGAAAATATGGCAAAAAGAAAATGATAGAAATAATCGGTTATTCAACTATCGTATTATTCCTTTTTTTTTCTCAGATCAGAATTGAAAAAAATGGTCGATTCTTATAATTTACGAATATAATTCCTGTAAATCCTTTATTTTCTTCTTCTTTATACGATTATTCGTGATTTTTACTTTTACATTTATTTCTTACCATTTATGGTTTGTTCTCCCGTTAAGAAAATAATCATTTTTTTTGAAATGATCATGATTCATGATGATTCAAGTAAACAAATGTCAGATTTTTGTTTTGAATTTTCATTTAATCATTATAAAAAATTTGTAAAAAAAATAGAAAAAATTTTCATTAGATAAAGAACAATTTGATATTGTTTGTTTGTTTGAAATCTTAAAGGGTTTTGGAAATTTTTAAAATTTGAATATAAAAAAAGATGATATGCATTTATTTCACTTCATTGAAATTTGATTGGATAATTGATGAACAATATTTGTGGTCCAATTTTTTACCGTATTTGGAATAACATAACGATATAAACTATAAGCTATGGCACCATAGAATGTATATTTGATAATTATAAATGTTTTTGATGGTTTTTGTACAGGAATTCTATTTTTGTGGATCATAACGATAGAAAAAAAAAGAAAAATCAATTTATAATAAGATCAATGTGAATTTATAAAATAAAAATACAAAAATCAACAACAACAACAACATACTTGATAAGTTCTTCAACATTAATATTTTCTGTTTCCCATTTATCTCGTATACCTGCTACATGACCAATACCAACAACACCAACAATTGTACTATCCGGTGGTGTTGTTTTAGCTGCATTTCGTAATGAATCAACTAGAAACATATCACGTTCATCGACCATTACTCGTGAAAGGCCTGGAAATTCAGCAGAAAATTCATCCACTAATTGCTAAAATTTTCAAAAATTAGAAAAAAAAATTCAATCATAATAAAAGTGAGAAAAAAATAAATTATTTCATTTCGGATATTGAAGAAAAAATATTCAAACATACTTCAAGAACATCTTTCTGTTTATATCGTTCCAATTCTTCTTCTTTTAATTTTTCATAATTAAATAAACAATGAAATGTAATCTTAATCTTTTGCCATGTAGTTAATGTTGCAATAGCACGTCTTAATGTAATATCGATTGGACGATCACCTAACATAACAACACATCCGGGTATTTTTAATGCCTTTAAGGGAAAAATTTTCCAAATATAAATTATTGATTGATAATTGAATTTGAAAACAAAAAACAGTCAATAAATAAATATATATTTACTTCATTGAATGCATTACGAAATTCACCTCCGGGTGCAATCTCTAGATCTTTGGTCACACGAGCTGAAGCACTTAACAATAATGTATAGATAAATGTTTGAAGAAATCCATGCTATATATATTCCATCGAATAAAATAAATAAAAAGAAATCTTAATAATAATTTTCTTTTCATCTTATATAATACCTTTTTCATATAATCACGAATCTTACGAAAATTCAATGATTTTGCTTCTTTCATGATTTCATTTTCGCTCATCGATAAAAAACACATACGACTACGACATAGTTCCAATACAACAACTTGAGGTTTAAATTTTCGGATTACCTATCCACCAACCACCACCAAAAAAAGAAAATGATAAAAAAATTTGTTCATGATAAATTGATGATCATTGGATCGATAATTGGTATGAAAAATGAGTCAGAAAAAGAAAGAAAAAAAGAAAACAGTATTTTGTGATGTGCTATATGAAAATGATGATATCGTATAAAGTCACGTTTGTTTTTCTTTTATTCTTTTTTGTTATTGTTGTTGTTGTTCCAACTTTACTGTTCCTTTTTTTTTGTATTCTATTCTATTTTCACATTCTCTGGTTCCATTTATTATAACTATAACACACTGGACTAATGTTTATATATTTGAATGAATGAATGAAATGAAAATGAAAAATTACCCTTCTGACATCTCGATGACTTGCTTTACTAAAATGGCTTGTACCAACTAGATAAACAATTCTTCTATCATCCACTTTTAATATTGATACTGTTTCGGGCAAGTTATTTGCATCTAGATCATCACCATCACCATCATCAACAACATCATCACCAAACCAATAATTTTGTTTGTTGTCATTTTTCATTGATGGCGATTGTTGTTGAACTGGCAAATCATTTGGTTGATGTGATGATGATGACATTTTTTTATTTTGTTTCATTGTTGTTTTATCATCACCATCATGGTGGTGGTGGCGGCGGTCATAATATTTATCGTCATTTTTGATAGGCGTGAATGAATTATTCGGTTTTATGAGCATATGAAAATCTTTATTATTCTTGGTGGTGGTCAAGTTGTTTTTTTTACCACCACCACTATACTGTGATAAACTTGGCCATTCATTTGAATCTTGATTCATGTCGTTTTTTTCTCTCTCCATTTTTATTTCAACTAATAATGATGATGATGATGTGGATGATATTTGAGATAATAATGAAGAAGCTAAAGCAAAAAAAAAAAGATGTCAAATTTATATTCTTGATGATGAAAACAAGTGAATAATGATGAAATGGAAACAACAAAAAAAAAAGTTTTTTTTTCAATGAATATATAAAAAAAAGATCATATAACCATGGATGATCACAAAGTGGTGTTAACTTTTGTTTGGATTTTTTTTCCCCAACACGAATGATGTTTGGATGAAATATTGGACCCGAAACTAAAACTAAAAAACAAACTAATATCGAATATAAGAAAAAGATACAGAAGTTTTTAGTTTAGATTTTTTTCGACAAGTCGATGACGTTGAATGGAGCGCGAGACTAAATTACCAATACACATCATCAAAAAAAAAAACGAAAGAAAAAGTTAGAAACATTGACATGAATTGACTGAATGTAAAGCGCATTACAAAACAAAAATAAACAGCTGGCCTGTTTTTTTTTTTTTTTGTTATTGTTTATTGAGATTTTTTCTTCTCCCGTTCGTATATAACGGATCTCGTTTTTTGATTTTTTTTTCTATTTTCCGTCGGTTCATTGGCATTATTGTTTTGTTTTGGATTAGTAAAGTATTTTTTTTGCTTTGTTTAATCTGTGAATAATCCTGTTGATCACGATTATTTGTCACAATCGATCGATCGATCGATTTGATCAAGATACAAAAAAAAAATCTATTGATCCATTTGAATAAGTAAATTCAATACACAGAAAAACGATGCGAATATTTTTTTTTCTATTATCGATTATCGAGATGTACTATATCATTAATACTCTATTGGATTTTCTTTTTCCTTTCTTTGCAATTGAATTTTATTATTATTTGGTCATTATTGGATTTTCATCATTCGTTTTATATATAGAACATGGTTGTTGTTGTCATTGTAGTCATCATTGTCGTATATAATTAAGTTAATTAAATTAAATTTATTTTGCTTTCGCTCAATTCAGTTTGTGTATTCAGATTGTTGATACGAAAAAAAAGAAAAGAAAAGAAACAACAACAACAATTTTCCTATATTTGATCACATTTGAACCATAGCCAAAAAAACAAAAACAAACAAAAGTGATTTAAGTTACACAAACACAAACACAAACTGGCCATAAAATCGAATCAAATGGACCAATCAATTGGTGATTTACCATTTCGATCTTTCTTTGTTTTTGTTTCTCTTTCATCGTTTGTATTTGTTTCAAACAAAAAAGTTCCATTACAATTAATCGTATTTTATCTATGTTGTGATATGAATATAGTATCCCAAAACAGAAACAAAAAAAAACATTAAAATGAATAGGGAAATTTTCTTTTCTTCTTTTCATTTGTGTTTCCATAATGAAACAATTTTTATTCAAGTTACTTGATTAAAACGAAACGATTTTGATGAAACACAAAGTAAAGGGAAAAACTAAAAAGAAAAGATCTATAAACATTGATTAGGGAAAGAATTAGTAACAACAACCCAAAAAAAAAAGAAAATTTAGGTCAAATCTGTAAACGTTGAGGGCTTCACATTTTTTTTTCTCGGCCTTCATTGAAACTTTGAATAATAATTTGATTCTATTGAAAAATGAATGATGAATTTGTGTTCGGTATTATGGATTCAATGGATTTTCATTCATTCATTCATTGAGCTTTTTTTGTTTCCATCGATATTAAAATGTGTATCATATCATGTCATGTCAATGAAAATCGATTTTTTGTTTCGTTATGAGAGAGAGAGAAGAAAAAAATATATTTAGCCAACAAGATTTTGGTTCCAATTTTTTTTCATTGTATTTGGGTATATTATCGTTTGCATAGAAAGAAAAAACTCGGGAAACTGTTTTCTTCTTTAGCAAGAATATCCGTTAAACATCCACTGATAAAACTGAATTTGTTTTGTTGAATGAATGAATGAAAAAAAATGAGAGAGAAAAAGGTCATTTAGGAAGAGGAAAAACGAAACGAAAAAAATCATTCATCCTTCCTAATGATGATGATGATGATGATGATTTGATTTTTTTTAATATTTTTTATTATTGAAAATGAAAAAATAAAAACGACGAGAGATCATTACACATCATATATGAATAAGCCCATGATAAATCGAACGTTTTTTTCTGTTGTGTTCGAATTCGAATGTCGAATCATCAACCGGATTCAATAATAATAATAATAATAATAACACTGAACGATGAAACAAACAAACAACCATCATTAAACTGAAAAATGATGATAATAATAATGAAAAAAATATAAAGAATTGGTAAGAAAATAAAAAATGATTATATAATAATGAAAATTGTTGTTTGTAATAACAATTTAAATATAATGTTCCAATGATTTTTTTTTCGTTCTTCTGAATCATCATAATCATAATAATAATAATTTGAGTGAATCGAAACCATTTATCCATAATCATCGCCTGTTTTGTTCAAACATTAAGACATAGCAATTACAGGAGAAAAAATTTACTTCCAGAAACAATCGTTTGTTTTAAAATGTGAAAATAACAGAAAAAAATGAAATGAAAATTGAACAAATGAAAAAATCGAATGAAATAAGATTTTGAAAAAGAGTTAATCCCATTTTCAAATCTCAATTCTGTTTTTATTATTGTTTTTCAAGTTTTTTTTGAAAATTACGATCATCATCATCAAATGAAAATGAAATTTAACGAATAAGCAAAATGAAAAAAAGGAAATTATCCGGTTATGTATCCTCTGATAATGACTATTTTCGTTAATAAATTTAATTTAATTTGATTTTGGTTCCGTTTGAACATTTCTGTTTTTTTGTTTTGTTGATTTTCTGTTTTTCATTATAGAAACAAAAACAAAAAACATTTCAATGATGGACATTTTGATTATCATTATTATAGTTGGTTTTTGAGAATTCACCGATTCGTTCACTAAATTCAATGAATCATTTTGATTAGTGTCGTGAATTGTCACATTACAGATCAAATTTAAATTGACTTTGATTTTTTTTTTGTTTCGTCAGTACATTCGAATTTCATGGATTTCAAAAAGTTCTGTATACAAGTATCATGTGTGTGTGTGTGTGTACAGCAAGCACTGCATTCATTCGTAACAATCCAATAAGCTTTTTTTTCCTGTTGTTGTTGTTCTATAATGGTAATAACGACAATGACGATGAATGTAATTTAATCTTGAATGCAATTTCTTTTTCTCTTTCTTCGTGTGTGCTCACCACTTTTTTTCTTGTCAATGGTTCTCTAGCTACATTAACCAATGAACAGAATCATTGTTCTGAAATCAATTAAACGTTTTTCTTTTCCAGTGAATGAAATGACATACACACACACACACACAGAATAAATTTGACTATAAAATTACCAAAGAAAAGAAGAAAAAAAAACAATTTCTATAAATGAAAAAAAAATTCATTTGAAAATTTCCCAAATCATTCATTCAGATAACTTTTTTTTGGCTGCGGATTTGATGCTCAACCCTTTTCGAAATGACTTTGTTTTGTTTAGGTCCCACACGTTATATCCTGACAATGCAAACAACATCCTCCATTCTTTCTTTTTTTAATTTGATTTGATAATTTATTCAATCCTGTGTGTATTCTCGATCATTATAATTTTCTTCTTCTTCTTCTTTTCATTCACCTGATATTCAAATGTTCATATTTTTGTTTTGTTTATAAGTTTGTATTTAAATTGATTAATTAATTAATTAATTATTCAATCAATTTTTTTGAAGATTGAATGCATTTTATCATTGTAACTTTTACATTGTGTTTGGATTGAATGAAGTTTTCTTTTCTTTTTCGTTTGTTTGTTTGTTGTTGAATGGAAAAAAATGTTTATTGATCTATTTGAAATCAGAGGAAAGAAAAAAATCCTTTTTTTCTCGCTCTTGAATCAAATTCTATCTTTTTTTACATTGTAGATAAATATTCTATACGCTCGTTTGAGCAACGAATTCAAATTCGTATTTTCAAAATTGCATATGAAATAATATTAGCATCTTTCATCATCATCATGCAATGGATGCGGACTTTTTTTTCACTCCTTTTTTTCGGTTTAAATTTGAAATCTATATTTTTTTGCACTCAAAAAAAACAAAACAAAAAATTATCGATTTTTTTCTATTTCGTTTGAAATTATTTTCTACTTCCAAAATTTTTTTTTTTGACATTGTTTAACAGCGTAAAAAACGTTGCTGTTTGGGAAAGAAAATCTATCATTTTTCCAAATAAATTTGAATCTTTTTTCGCACTGAAACTAATTTTATTCTGTTTTTATTCTGTTTTTTTTGCTTTCGTTGCTATTTTTCCTCAAAAAACAAATTGATTGAATATATCAATCAAAATAGCTTATATCACATTATACAATATTTTCCGGTGGACTATGGTGTATGCTTGGTGATGGTTGTCCACGACCACAAGAAATAATACGACAATATGCTGAACAAAGTAATGCACAAATATCATTAATACAACAGAATAGTAATCATCATCATAATCAACATCAACATCATCATAGTATATCATCGATACCATATCAGGTATCATCATCAAATCATAATCAACATTCATTACAGAATCATCTTGTATTCACTATACATCGTCATAAAAATGATAATAATAATAAATCATCATTTGATGATTATTATTATAATTCTAAATGTAAAACATGTTTACAATTACAATTTCCATCAAATAGACATCATCATCATCATCATAGACAACGTCGTGTTTCAACACCAACAAATTTAAAATTAAAAGAATGGTTTACAACTATAAATCATAAATGGGCACGTATTAAACGACAAGTTATATTACATCATCAAAGACAACAACCATTGATTAATGAAGATAATTATGGAACAAATGGTTTGATTGATTTTTTCACTTTTTTTCCAATTTTAATTTTTTCTTATTATTTTCACATTAGAAATGACCTGTTGTCATGTGAGTAAAGTTACAAAAAATGCTAAAACAAGAAATCTACAAGAATTATTAAATGGTCATAATGAATCATATCGATCACCAACAACAAATCTAAATATTCATTGTAAATGTCTTCCTAGTCAACGTTATTGTATGATGAATGGTTATGGTACAACTTCAACACGTTATCAACATCGTAAACAACAATTTGGTCGTTGGCATGAAGAACCAGCATTCGGTAGCCGTTATGCATTTGATAATGAAACTTCATTCAATAATAATAATGATAATAATAATAGACAAACTAATTCGGTTACAAATACACCAAGTGCAAAAACAAAATTAACTTCTACCACCAATCAAAATGATATAAATATTAATTCAAAATCAACACAAGCTAATAATGATAATGATGATATGGTTAATGATGATGATGATGATAATGTTAATAATAATGATAATGATGAACGAATAACAATAACCAATAATAGGAATCATATTCATCATAAATCTCTTATAAAATCATCTTCAATCGATACCATAGCGGTAAGTTTTGTTTATTTCAAATCATATATATTTTTTCCTAGGAAAATATATCAAGATTGGAAAAAATCATGCATTTTTGTTGTTTTTCGTTCCGTTTCATTTCATTTGTTTATAACTTTTTTTTACAACGTAAATCATCATCATCATCAACATCAAAGAAAAAAATCACACTCGAACAAATACACACGTGGCATTAACTTTACAAAACAAAGTACTTTCCAATCAATCAATTACCGTATATAATATATTTCAAGAACCGAACATGAATGATTCGTTCGAATATTTGTTTTTTCTCTCTCTCCTTCTCTTTCTCGCAAATATAATCATTCATATGTACATTTACCGAAAAAAAAATCTTTGGCTGATTTATTGTCCAAAAGAAGAAGAAGGAGATTCCTTCACGGAACGCTAGGAATTTTGTTTTTTAGTTTTAGTTTCAACTTGAACAACAACAACAACAAAAAAAAATGTTTCCATGAATCTTTTCGTTCACTTATTGTATAAATGTGTTTTTTGTTGTTGGTTGTTGGTTGTTGGTGTGTGTGTATAGATATCGATAAGAATCAATAGAGTAGTATTTCCTTTCGGCAATTTGTTCAATAAATTTACATTCACATTTTTTTTACGTCCTTCAAGATGGAATGCCATACATACAAATAACATACAAATATTTGATTCGAATCACGTTCATCATCATCATCATCATTGAAAAAGAGAGAGAGAGAGAAAGAAAAAAAAGTTCCAGAAATCAAGAATGAGAATACCATGTTTTTTTATTCCTATTTGAATGATTGAACTTCAATGAAAACAGTGAAAAAAAATCATTCACATCATCAACATTATGATGATGTATACACAATCAAAATCAAAATGAATCTTCATGTTTGAAATATAAATAAAATTTTGGGCGGTGTGTATGTTTACCAGTAGAATTCAATTCTTGTTATATTATTTTGATTCAAATACACCAAAAAAAAAAATTCTTTATCTTTGTAAGAAAATGGAAGATTGAACTTGAATTCAAGTAATTTTGTTTTTGGAAAATTTGTTTTTTTAGCTTATTGATTTTATCAGAAACCGAATCGAATCAGAAATATCATTGAAAAAAATTGGCCGGTTTTGAATGTAATCATTCGTTTTCGTTCATTTAATGTATCAATTTGATTTTTTTTCTGTTTTTGTTTTGCTAATTGTTACCAATGGTGGTTGCTTTTCTTTTCTTTTTTTTTTGACTATTTGTATTTTTCTTTTTAGTAAAATTGAGACATTTTGTTCCGTTTTTTGTTTTTGTTTTCCTTGGAATCATGTCATGAAAAGAAACTTTGGACTGAAAAAAAAAGAAAAAGAAAACATTATTTGTTCAATCACGCTCAAACGAACATATCAAACATTATCAAATGAGAATGAATGATCATATACAGTAAAAGGCTGACAGTCTGATTGGAATTTTGTTTTTCTTTTTTCTTTTTTTTTCCTCTTGTTTCCGTCGGCATCTTTTTTTTCGGCATCAATCCAATCAGAAGAAAATTCAACCGTCAAAAAATAAAATAAAGAATGCATTTTTTTCTTCTCTTGTTTTGTTTATTGTTATTACTTTTTTTTGTTGTACATTATTAGCTAAAATTTAGTTATCTTTTTTTACGGTATCTTTTTCCGGTTGTTTATATTTCATCATTTGGTTAAATAACTTGTATTTTTTTCAATTACTTAGGCCTTCTTTAATGATCCAATCGAAGAGATTCGTCGTTTACATTTCCGACCATCATTTGATGATCATCAAACAACAAACGACAATTCATTGATGAATCAAACAACTATGGTCAATGGATTCAATGAAAATGATATATCCAATCAATTTGATTCTGATTGTTTTAATATTTCAAATTTTAATAATAAACCATTATTACAACGTGCCAATTCATTTGATGATCATCATCATCAATGTCATTGTAATTGTTCAGATTGGTTACTTGATATTGATACTGATGATTTAAATGATCCATTTCAAAGTTTACCTATAACTATTATGGCTAAAAATGATTGTAATCAAACAAATAATGATAATGATACAGCAATGAATGAATTACAAACAGTTTTTAATTCTTCTTCAACATCTACGACAACAACAACAAATCAATCCGATCATAATAATAAACAGATTATGTTCAATGGTTTTAATCATCAGCAGCAACAGCAACAACAACAACAATCATCGTTAACAAATAATTTTATATCATCTTCATCATTGAATAATAATAATAATAACCATACAATCATGAATGGTGGAATGAATTTCATACAAAATTCAAGCATGAATGGATTTCAATCTTTAAATAATAACAATAATAACAACAGTAACAATATTATTGGCCATACTTTAACACAACAATCAAAACAACAATTTACTAATCTTAACGGTCCACTTGTTTCAGCTGTAGATTCATCGAATCATCATCATCATCATCATAATAATCATAATCATCGTGAATTAACGACAAAACAAGATAATAATAATAATAATAATGTCGGTAAAAATTGCTCAACATTAAGCGGTACTACAAGTAGCGGAAGTAGTAGCAGTAGTATGAGTACAAATAGTAATAATAGTAGCGGTAGCGGTAGTGGCCGTTTTTATAATCGATCGTTTGGTCCAACAACTGTACCATCATTGTCAACAACAACAACAACAGCGATGATAATGGTAAAATCATCTCAAAAAGATAACGGTGTTGAAAATTCTATTCATCACAATAATGATAACAATAATGGTCACTTATCATTTCATTCTACTTCAATAAATCTTAATAATAATAATAATAATGATCTAATGGATTCGAATTTTTTCAATGAAAAAAATAATAAAAATAAAAATGATGAGATTAATCAACATTCAAGTTGTTCATCAAAATCATCATCTTCAACAGTAACAACAGCAACAACGATAACTTCAGATGTTGTATTAACATCATCATCATCCACCATTCAGCCATTATCAATTTCTCAATGCTGCAACGATTCTACGGGTACAACAAATTTATCCACTACTAACAATATCAAGAGCAATTCAACACAATCAACTTCAATCTCAACAATGTCATCATCATCATCGGCAACAACAACAACAACGATAATGTCAACAATTTTAAATCATCATCAACAACAGAATCGTCCACCAATAATTGATCTACTTAAAGAATTTGATGTATGTTTTGATAATCATGATCAATTGGATGATGATAGTTCAACATTAACTGATAATTCTTCAACGGTAAGAATTTATTTTATTATCATTATTATGGGCTATTAAAAATCAAATCCAATCATTTTAATGTCTTTAACTCTTTTCATTTGAGTTTTATTTCATTTACAATTAATTTTCCTTTTTTTCAAAATGGAATAATTCACTAATCACATTCATTTATTTGAAAAAAAATGAAAGAATTAATGGCCCAAATATTCTTTAAAGTTGTCATTTTCAATTTAGATTTTTTTTCCTTTTTCATTTCAATAATAATAATAAGATTTACACCAATCATTATAATAATTTATTATTTTTCTTTAATTTGATTCCAATTCCCTCATTCATTTCATGTGTGTCTAAATTGTTGTTCTTTTTTGCATAAAATAGTTTATATTTCAGCAAAGTTTTTCGGCACATCAAAATCTTAATCTTTTCATCATCAGTCATCAATATTGAATATTGCCTTCAATAGCTATTATTATAATCATCATCATCATCAGATTCTATGCTTTATTATATTTAAGAATCTTAAAACTTTTTTTGTTTTGTTTCATTCCATCCTGATTTGATTATCACAAAGTTTTTTTTTCGTTTCTCATATCCAAAAATGATTATTATTATCAATCATCATTCTTTCAGTATGTTTATTACAGATTTTTTTTTTGCTTGCCAGATCCAGTATACTGTTGTTTCAAAAAAGTCTGTTTATATTCTTTCTTTTACTTATTCATTCATTCATATATGATGATTGAAGAATTTCGGATTTTCGCTTTCATTTTCTACACTCTTTCCTATCACTGTTGTTTGTTTGTTTCTTCTTTTCCGTTTTTCATCATTATTCATACAAAAGCAAGTAAATACGAAACTAATATTCTGAGAGAGAATAAAACAGTGATCTGGACTTTTTTCTAGTGTGAGATATGTGAAACTAATAAATTGACATGAATGATACCCATACGATGATGATGATGATGATCGGAGATCTGAACTTTTTCCAAAAGATGATATTGCCGAATTTTTTTCGGCCTGTTCATATTATTATTATTATTATTATTTGTTTCATACTTGAATTATTTACAATATCTATCTATCTATCTACTATCTTGCTGTGTTATTATATTCGATTTATATTCATCGTTATTGTTTTATTATTAACACAATTGAATTGGCCAGGCATAATAATAATAATAATATTTCGTTTTACTTTGCCGATCGTTATCGTTTTAATCTTGTCATGAATTTTTTTCCCCCAAATAGACAGCACAGCACAGCACAGATTTTATTAGATAGATCGAGATTCAGTTTGTTATTTTTCATTCGAACTATTTTCATTTCGAATGTCCATCATGTACACATCATGTGAACAATAAACGTGAACATTTGTGAAACAATTGCCAAAAAACGGCCGGTCATTTTTTTTTGTTTCAAAGACCATGTGAATGAATGGATATAAATTTAAATTCTTTTTTTTCCCCAAAATATTCTTCGATCATTTTGGAAACCAGAATTCCCTGATTTTAGCAACAACAACACTGATCAATGATATTGGTTGGCCGATTATTTATTTATTTTATTGATTTTTTCTTCTTTTTTTGGTTCAATATATCCATCGTTTCGAAACATAGTCGAATGAACATGCATGCATGGTTGACATTTTTTTTTCTTCGAAACATAGCCTGGCCTATAGAGACCTTCCTTGTATCGTATTTGATCGAAATTTCTTCTCCTTTTTTTTTAAAAAATAAAAAATTTCGCTTTGATACCCACCAATTATTGATGGAATTTTTATGCTAATACAATTCAAGTTTTTTTTCTGTTGACTACCAACACTTTTTTTTGATATTCACTATTATATCCCCTTTTTTTTGGTCAGTTTGAAGCTATTTTTTCAATCAACAACATCATCATCTAATCCCATAGTATTCTTTGGAAAATTTCTTTGGTTCAAACTTGAACATTTTGAATAACAAGCAAAGAAAAAAAATTATATACAAAAAACTTTTGACCAAATCGATCAATTTTTTTTTGTTCACTCTTTTGCTGAAAAAAATTATAACTTTTTTTGTTTTTTTTTTCATTTATTTATTTAAAAACAACAAAAAATATATCCATCTTGGGAATGGAAAAATTTTAAATTATAGACTTGGTTTGTTCAACCAAAACTTGAATGAAAGTTGGACTATTCGGGTTAGGCAGCAACAACAGCAAAAAAAGGAGAGATAGAAAAAGATGTCCCATCATTAGTTGCACATCCTTCTTTTTCCCTAAGCAAATTATATATAGGATTCATTAGTGGTGGTCATTTTGGTTCGAAAATCTTCTTCTTTTTTTTGCTTTTTTCTGGTTATGGTTCTTTAATCATAATAATCTTATAGTAGTTTGGTGTCAACCATAATCTTTTCAGATAAAATTTTCTTACTTTTTTTCCCCATGGTTGGAACTAAATCAACACTTTTTTTGTCTTGTTCTTTATTCTCTTTCACTTTGGTTTTTGTTGTTAATTACATTAACAAAAAAAAAATTGAAATTTCAATTTTTTTTCATTCCGTTCTCTTGAGAATTTTAAAATAATGTCAACTCTTTTTATTTCTTTTTTTCATTGAATTCATTTTCTTTTTTTGAATGTAGAAATATTGTTTGATTTTCATTTATCATTTTTTTCAAATTCTATTATCATTTCCATATTTCCACCGGATTCATCATGTTCATTTTTTTTCTTCTTTCGTTCGTTTGCTTTCCGTCATATTTTCCGCTATAATATTCCATAGATAAGAAAATTTTTTTTTATAAAGAAATATTCTGGCCACAAATAAGGTGTATTTTGTATTTCTCGGTTGTTTTTATGGAGTTTTGAATTTCCGGCCCATATTTATCTAATAGTCAAATATGGAATAAGATATAGTTTTCTTTTCTTTGTTGTTGTTTTCAATGACCAAATTATCATCATTAACCGAATAGTATCACTTGTTTCATTTTGTGTTTCACGGATTTTCAGCATGTAATTTTTCAACAACAACAACAACAGAAATTTATTATTTTATTTGGGATAAAAACAAGACAGACAACAATGAATGAATGAAGACCGAATGAAACAAAAAAGTTATCAAATAAACAAAATGAATAGTGAAACAAAAAAAAATGTATTTTCCATTTCACGTCAAACATTTATCATATTTTAAAACTTTTCTTTGGTCGACGTAGAAAAGGGTAGACCAGATTTTTTTTTGTTGTTGTCATTTCAAAATGATGATCTTTACCCTTTTATCATTTATATTTATTATTATTGATCATTATAATTGCTTTAATGTTTTTTTGTTTTTGTTTTTCTAATATTTTCATTTTTTTTTCAATAAATAAATAGCATTCATCAAATTCCCCACCAAAACAAAATGTCCATAATGAAACAACAACAACAACAACAATAGCAAATTGTAGTAAAAATATTCCAACATCAACATCATCAATCTTACATACAAATGATTCCAATTTTTTTCAACAACAACAAAAACAACATAAATCATATCATCATATATCATCATTACCTCCACCAACTATTTCTCCACCACCACCACCGCCTTTATCCAGTTGTATTGAAACACCAGTATGGCCTGATAATAATATTATTAGTGAATCATCATCATCAACATCGTCGTCATCATCATCATCGTCATCAATAAATCCTTCCAATATTAATTCATGCATTAGCCAACAAGTGCCCTTGGGTGATAATAATGATAATAAAGAAAATAATGAAACTACTATTTCTACTAATCAACAATGCCTTAAAGACATTGAATTAAGTATATATTCACTATAAATATATGATGATATAAGATCTATGATTCTAATTCATTTTATTTGGCCTTTTTTTTTCTATTATTTTTGCCATTGTCATTCTAGTATGCTTGAATGAAGTGATTGACGAAGTTCAAGAAACAATACAAAAATGTAAACGTGGCCCAATTTGTTTTGATCCTCGTTGTATTACATTGAAACGAAGAATAGGAAATGGTTATTTTGGTGATGTTTTTCTGGCTACTATTCCATCATTACATGGTTCATCGAATATAAATTTAGCCGTTAAAATGCTTAAAAGTCATGCCGTTCCACAGCAAAAGGTAGAAAATGATTGATATGTTTTTTACCTTACCGAATCCGATTCTGATTTCTATTTTGCTTTTATTTTTATAGGCTGAAATACTTCGTGAAGCACAAACAATGGCTAAACTTGACCATCGACATATTGTTCGTTTGATCGGTGTATGCGAGAATGATCCATTTATGTTAGTGATGGAATTAGCACCTTTAGGACCATTGAATAAATATCTACAAAATCATGGCCAAAATATGACCGATACTGATATTTTACGTTTATTGCTTCAGGTAGCTAAAGCAATGCAATATCTTGAAGATGTAAACTATGTACATAGAGATTTGGCCGCTCGTAATATTCTATTAGTTAATGAAAAATTTGCCAAAGTAAGCGATTTTGGTATGTCACGTGCCCTTGGCCAAGGTAAAGATTATTATAAAGCTCGTTCAGCATCAAAATGGCCACTCAAATGGTATGCACCTGAATGCATCTATTATTATAAATTCAGTTCAAAATCGGATGTTTGGAGTTTTGGTGTAGCATTATGGGAAGCAATGTCTCGAGGTGAAATGCCTTATCAGGTGAGTATCTGGCTTTTTTTCTTTTTTGCTCCCTCTCTCTCTCTTTTGATTGTCTTTTTTTTTAAAAAAATAAGAATATTGTGCTTGTTACTTTGCCCGTTTTACCGGAAAAAAATGATTTTCATTATGTTCATTTTTTTCATTTTTATTTATTCGGATATTTGTTCTCTAAGGGCATGGATGGGCAAGACATTCTACGAATGTTCAATGAAAATCGACGTCTGCCTAAACCAGAGAATTGTTCTGTCATCATCTATCAAATTATGTGGAGTTGTTGGCAATTCAAGTAAGTTTTTCTTTTTATTATTCTTTCTAGTCTCTATTGCTTTTCAAATTATAGAACAGTAAAAAAAAAGAAATTTAAATTTTAAATTTGATTTTTTTTCTGTCCGCTTTTCTTGAACTCTTGTCTACGTCTTTTTTTTCTGTTGAACTATTTAAAGAAATAAAAAGCGGAAAAAAAACTTTACATAAGTCTTGTGTAATGAAATTATCAAAAAATGTGTATGTGGATGATGATGATGATGAATCCTTGCAGCAACATATAATCAATTCGAATGATTTCTATGTATGTCGATTTTTCGAAAAATATTTTTCATATATATTGAAATGTTCCAGTTTTTTTTGGTTGGATCTGTTCTAAATGGTTCATACTCAATGTATGTGTTTACCCAATTCAATGAATATCTAATAGAATTCATCAACGATAAAAGTTATAGACCATTAAGGGGTGTGGTAGAATGGAAAGAAATTTGAATCAATTCATTTTTACCCATTTATTGATGAAACATTAAATAATCGTATATAGTTTGACCGTTTTTTATATATATATTTTTGAACCAGGAAAACAAAAATTTTGACATTTTTTTTCTCCTTCTTCTGGAATCTGAATTAAAATCTATTTTCATTTCATATTCTGCTGCCAATATATAACCAAGAGAAATAACATAGAATAAATTTTCTTTTTTCGATAAAAAAAACCATCGGAATCCATAATCGATTGAAATATATTACAATTCGCATATAATTTCAAGCATGAATTTTTTTCGATACAGAAAAAAATATTGAATTTTAATTTTATTTTCTTCAGCAATGAAAAAACAAAACAAGAAAATAATCCAATAGGTCAAGTGATGTGAATAAATTTTTTTTTCTCTCTCTCTCTCTCTCTTGATTTTGAGTGTAATCACTCAAGTTTTATTTATTTATTTATTTTAAACAAATTTTGTTTTTGTTGAAAATTTGTGGCTTGTATTTTGCTATTTAAAATTTTTGACAAAATATAATTCATTTGAACAGGTCCCTAATGATTCTTCAAAAAAAATTTCATCAGCCAAACTTTTTTCATTGATCACACTAATAAATTTTGTTTTTTGTTTTGAAGATTGTTCAAACTTTTCGTTAAAAATTATTATTTGCTAATTGGATTCTAATTTTCTAATTTTTTTCTCTCTTTCTCTCCCATTATTTTAGGCCTGAAGATCGTTTAAATTTTGCCAACATTGTCGATCAATTGATGCATTATCTTGATGGAAAATGAAAATAAAAATGCCTTCCTTTTCTTTTCTTTTTTGTTAACTCATTTTTTTTCATTGCATTACTATAGTCTCAATTTTATAAATGTTCATGTAATTTTTTCAATAAAAAAAAATTTAAAAATCTATGGTTCCTTTTTGATTTTTTTCTTTTGGATCGAACAAAGTGCTACCATCTATTAATATGAAAATCAAACAATGTTACTTTTTTCACAAGATTTTATTAAGTTTCTCGTAAAAGTACTACCATCTTTTGAGAGAAAAAATAACTTTAAAATATTTCAGCAATTTTAAAATCTTTTTTAAAAATGTTCAATAATCACTATTCACTTGCCAATCGATTAGTAAAATGATAAAAAACAAAAAACAAAAAATCAATCACAATAATTAACCAAAAACAAAAAAATCTGTAATAATTTCTAATTTTATATTAAACTAGAAATATATAATCTTTTCCTTATAATAATTAGATTAATTTATGTGGTAAAGATGGTTTTGCAATCGTTTTGCCTCCAATCGATACTTTTTTTTGTCGTTCCCAATTTTTATCATCTGATCGCAAATGATCCAATTCATCCAACAATGTTTCATATCGATATGAAACACGAATTCCAGGTAAATTAGTTCGTTGAATATCGTTTCCTTCAACACCTTCACGTTGATAATTGGCTCCAATCCAATGTTGTTTAAATTCACTAGGAAAACCAGACATCAAAACGGAATTGCGTGCTAATTCGCTCATATCACAGCTACTTAATTTCCATACTTGTGCGGCAATCGAATATTCTTCCATCAATGGTTCCTGTAATCGTTGTATTAAAATCTATTTTTTTACATTCAAAATAAAATTTTTTTACCTTAGTAAAATGAAACTGTAACGGATCATCAGTCGAAAGTGATACGCAAAGACCACGAGATGCAAATTCTGGTAAAGGATTTCGATGATAATTCAAAAATAATGAATTATTTGATAACGGTGACATTGCGATTCCAATCTGAGTCAAATAGTACAAGTATTGTAAAACTGGTACTTTTCGAAGCAAAAGACCATGGCTAATATTTTCAGCCAACAAAAATCCACCAATCAAATGTTGAATATTACCAGCTTCACCACAATGTGGTCGTAAAACAAGTGTATTGAATCCACGTTCTTTACGAAAATGATTCAAAATGACCATATTGGCATACATATAATAAAGGTAGTAATTACTGTTTAAAAAAAGATCAGAAATCATTAGAATAAAACTCAATTCAAAAAAAATGTTGAAAACATACTATGGCGGATTTTCTTCATCTGTCCATTTGTTTGGTAACGTGATTTCTTTATCAAACATTGGATTTTCGTGTTTTGATTCATCGTCGACCGAATCAAATCCAGTAACATAGTTCAAAAAGACATGCAATTCTGGATGAGAATTTGGATTGTTCGTTACTTCAAACAGCGGCATGAAAATATTTTCCAACATTTGTTCAAAATTTCCAAGTATTTTGTTCGCTCGATATACATCACTAAATATTAATTTATAAAATTTATATTTGTAATGAAATTTGAAACTTATGGCAATCACTATGTATCTTACTAGAGACGAGGAATTTGAATTATCCATCGAACAGTGTCAGAATAGACATTGTTTGTAAGGGCCCATTTGGCTAAATCATCCCATTCATTTGGTTTTCGGCCATAAATCGACAAACGTAATTCAGCCTGTTGATATTTGGATTCTTCTAGATCAGCCATCACTTCTTTAAGAATTTCGGCAAAATAAGCACCTTTGATATAATTGTCAGTTTTAAGAAATATTTCTCTTAATCTTGATTCACCGATAGGATTGTATTTGGCATTGAATTTATCAAAACGATGAAATGTATTACGATCGGCGTGAACATCCAACATATCGACACTTAGATCATAGCTTGTTAAATTTAACGAATCAAACACTTGTTCCAAAGTTAATGGTTTACCATTCTCTATGCATACAAAATCATTTCGTCGTGTTTTGATTGTTTTCTTGATAAAACGTAACAAATGTTTTTGATTCATACAAGAAGAGGCATGAATGTGCGTATCAACTTTACGTGTATTATAAAAATCTCTATGCGGTACAGCTTTTTGTGAACGTAATTCATTCATTTCATTGAGAAGAACATGTAATTGATATTTGTATGTTAGATATGCTAATCGTTTGTAACAATGTGATTTCAATGGACCATCTGTGATGATATTACACATAAATTTCATATCTTCAATAAAACTATTGAATGGTCGAACATTATAAGCTCCTGGAATAAAATTTCATGATTAAAACAAAAAACAATATAAAGCAAAAATTCTAAAAATTCTTACGCTTTTTTCCATCAAAATCGCTCTTATTTTTATAGACATGGATAACGCCATCTTCGATTTTAAGAATACAATTTAAATCTTCTGGGATCTTTATGTTCCAAGGATCAGCTATTACTGGTGGCTCATCAAAATTTACTATTGAATAATAAAACAATATGATAAGCAATAATAATCGAAAAAAACAAAATTTTGAACAATTCATACTTGTTTCAGACTGATAATCAGATTTGTGTGTTCGATGTAAAATACGTTTAGCCATCTCCGGAAATGATTGAAATGCTTCACGCATATAAATTTCTCTTAAACGCATAGCTCTACGCAATGATTGATATATTTTTGGATCTTCAGCCTATGATTTAGTTTTTACCATCATTATTATAACGAATAATTCAAATGTCACAACAGGACTTACACCGAATGAATTTTCTCCTGAAATATAAACACGCTGAAAATCCAAATGATTCAGGATAGATGTTGTAATAATATTTGAACATGTAGTTGGATCGGCTGAATCAGAATGTTTATGAATACATTGTAATTCAGTCTTAGGTACAGCTAATAATATGCAGAATGGAAAATGGAGAAAAAAACAAGATCACAACGATAATAATCGGATGTCTGAAATTTATAACCATAACTTACTTTGTTCATCACATGTAGCGCGTTCTTCCAATTCTTTCAATGCGATTTGTTGTGCTAATTGTTGTGCGGCAATTTTTTTCTGTTCTTCCAATTCGATTGGATAATGTGGCAAGGTATATGGTGCAGAAATTTCTTTAACATTCAATTCACTATGATTAGATATATCTCTAGGTATTTTTGCTGCGTTTGCAGCAGCAGCTTCATCATCTTCTTCAATTTCATCGTCATCTAAAACCGATGATTTCATAAGGATTTCTTTCTCTTTTTTCAAATCACTACCGCCTACTATTCGTTCCATATCCGAAAAATGAAAATGTTTTGTTAAATCTAAATAAACAAACAAATAAATAAATGATTAGTTGAAATCTTAAATTCGAATGATATGAACAATATCACATCGTTATAATTGCAGGCATTCTTATCATATTTCACCACCGTATTACTTTCGATAAGTTTTTTGAGAAAAAAAATAAATTTAACTTTTAATATTATCATTGTTTGTATATAAACGAACGTGATGAAAAAAAAACGATTGATGACTTACCAATGACCGTCAAAAACAAATAGATAAATAAACAAATTTAATGATCTAGATTTGGATCGCTTTTCAAACGAATGATTGTTGAAGGTGAAAAAGTGCTCTAATTAAAAATAACAGAAATTTAGTTAATTCCCTAACAACGACAATTTGAAAGAAGAAACAATGAGAGACAAACTTGTAAAAAAATATATTCCAATTCAAACATATGATTCGTAGAATCAGAATTCTTATCAATCAAGTGAATAAGGAATGATGATTGAATTTTGATATTGTCGAATCGATTATTCACTTAAAACTTGGATTGTCAATGATCTTATTAATAAACAAAACAAACCAAAATCAAATTCGTATTAAGTTGTTGATGTGAATTTTTCTATCCTCGTTTTGGTTCATATATACAAATTGCGGTTGGTTATATCGCAATTAATATATATTGATGGTAATAGGATTCAGAATTGTTTGTTGTTGATTATTTTGGAAATAAAAATCATTGTGGCAGTGGTAAGTATATCATGCCACATTATTTTTTCTGCAATAAATAGAGCGCATACTCTCTCTCTTTCTCAAACAACAAAATATATTAGATTGTGAAATAATTATAAAAAAAGCTAAATTCTTTTATTCGAAAGATTTATAGAATGAAAGAAAAATGTATAACCATTGCCAAAATATATTTTTGATGTCTGGATGAATGATTATGATCATTTAGAAACAAACACATTTATCAGCATCGTTTATCATCATCGTTAAATGTTCGGTAGTGTAAAAAAATGATCAAAATTCAAATCGAATGATTTGAATTTTCAAAATATTTATTTTAGATAAATGTTATTCGATATTTAGAAATGATTGATTATTATTATATCGATTTGATTATCAATGTTTAACGTGATTAATAAAGTAGCTACCGATCGAATGGAAAATTTTTGTTTTCAATCACAATTGTATATTTTATTTACAAACAGGCAAAAAAAATGTTCAATAATAACTAAATTATAATCGAATGAACTAAATCAAAAACACAAATCGATATTGATTTGGAAATTTTTCTTTGCTCTTATCATAAATATTGTTGTTTAATCTGTTCGAATTCATTCATATTAAACATGCCGCCATGTTTTTCCGTTTGTCCTACAATTAAAAATGGTCGCTGTCCTTGATTATTAGCTTTGAATTCTTTAACAATTGGACGAATAAATGTATTGGAGAATCCTAATGCAGACATTTTCCGTCGTCCTTTCAGTGTTAGGCTTCTAAATGCCGACCATGTTTCATTTGCCGAAGCAATACATAGAATGTGTCGTTTTTTATGATAATAAACAAGGCCTGGTAAATGTTCATAGTGTCCATGTCCGGCTAAAACGGATATATTCAAACGATTCACAAGATCTGGATCAAGTATATCACCCAATCGTAATGGTGTACCATCAATCCAATAGGTATAAACATCGATGGTACCGTTGAATGCGCGAAAACGTCGATCAATTTCATATGCATTCATATTTGTCCAATCGATTTCACCATCCGTAATTTTTAGTTTTCGAGCTATATACAAGTTTTTGTTGGTTGTTAAATTAGATGAAATGATTGTTAAATAAGAAAAAACTGACCATATGTAACTCCTTCTTCAGGTTGTTTACGAGCGTTCGCTAAACAATTGTCCAAATCTTCAATACAGTCCCAAAGCTAACAATAAAAATCAATAAGATTTATCAATGAAAACTATTGATAATCAACTTACTAGTTGAGCTCCTATTGGTGCCATTACTTGTTTCAATTGTTTGGCCGAAATTCGATGTACAATTTCGATGGGTTTTTGTGCCAAAATTTCGCCAACATCAAACCTGTCAAAAATGCTAACGTTTTTTAAAGCAAAAAAATTTATAGTCAATCGAACATACCTATTTGGATGAATTTTCATTATGGTAACACCGGTTATTTCATCACCATGAAGTATAGCATGTTGGATAGGTGAAGCTCCACGCCATCGTGGCAATAATGAGCCATGAATATTGAAAACACCTGAAATTTAAAATGATTTGAAAAAAGGAATATAACAATAACTAAAACAATACCAAAATGGCAGGCATTAATAGCTTGAGATGGTATAAGGCGACCGAATGAAGAAACGACACCAAGATCAAATTGATCATTTGGAACCGTATATTCATCGAATAAAGTAATTGGTAGATCAGTTTTTTTACAATATAAACTAACAGGATTATTACATTTTGTTGTGACTACTTGTATATTTTTTACAATAACTGTAGCATCCAATCCAGGATTTAACAGTTTTTTATGTAATAATTTAAGACTAGCTATACTAAAATCATCAGAACCATAGAATAATATGGATAATTCTCTGGCTGATTTTTGTTTTGCATATGATGATAAAAATGATTTTGAAACGACCATGTTAGCTGGCGAAAGCCATTTTCGTTTCACCAATGATAATAATAATAATGTTGATCTCATACTTCATCGTTTGAAATCGATCGATAAAAATATTAATTCTGTAAAAAATGAAACAATAAACAATTCAATTAACATCAGGAACAAAGCGAACAGAAATACTTACAGAAAAATCCATACTTTGAAATAAATGATCTATGAAGATCATGAAAAAATCAGAGTCACATGTATCCAAAATATGAAGAAAAAAACAAAATATTCAAAACAACATTGAAATGAGTTTATTCATAAACATCGTATCCAAATATTTCGAATGTGAAAAAAAAATCTGAAGCAAATTTTTGTTTTTTTTTGGATAATTTTGTTTCGATTCGATTTGTTTTATCAATTGTTTCCTTTGTATATACCTGTTTTTATGGACTTTTAGGAAATTTTTGTATCCATCCATGGTAACCAAACGTATTGGAAAAAATATTAAAATAAATCAAATCAAGATTAATGGATGTCAAAACAATTTGGGAAAAATATGGTGAAAATAAACAAGCTACGAAAAATTATGATTGGTTGGATGTCCTGTTTGTTTGTATCGGGTAAATCGTTGTTGTTGTTGTTGTCGTTTTTTTTGTTCATTTTATTTTCATTCGTTTTTTTTCAATAGATATTTTTTTCTCATTTCATTTTGGCCAATGACAAATGCTAAATCTGTCAAATTTCCTGTCATTATTTTTTTTATATATCCAAATATTTCCAGGAATGCGTTGATAATGTTTTTTTTCTCAAATGGATACAATATTGGTGACAATACACACACACATGCAAATAAAACCACAAACACTATAGATTGACATTGAATTTTGCGTTTTTTTTCTATGCATTAAAAAAATCTGCCGAATCGTTTAACAGTTTTTTTTTCTTTGATATTGAACTTGAATTTTATTATTATCATTTCTCTGTTTTCTTGAAGGATTCGATTATTTTTTTTTCTTCTCTTTCTCACTAATTACTGCATTTCCTGATCTGATGTGTGTGTGTGTTTGTGGCCATCAATTATCCGATAAAAATGAGCATTGATTGCATCGATTGATTGAATTTTTCGTTAATAATATTCTGCGTTCATAATTCTGAAGAATATTCAACAACAAACGATTGCATTTGTACCTAAATAACTTATTGCAAATGGATCAAAATCTTGTTTTTTTTTCGAAAAAACAGAACAAACAAACAAAATGATAGAACGTAATTTTTTTTTTGATTTAATTTAAGGTCATCTTGTCCATTTAATTCATTCCTTTCCTTTCCTCTATATATGTTATATGAATATCATATGTTTTTTCTATATTAATCTTTTGTATTTTGTATTTTTTTTATTTGATTGATACAATGAGAAAGAGAGAAAAAAATATTATTGAAATCAAATAGCCAATATTATCATAAACAACCTGTTGATTGATGATGATGATGATGATGTTATATGAATAAAACGGAACAAATTACCTTGAATCAAATCAAGGTAAATTGTTTTTCTTTATTCAAAAATTTTTCATTGTCATTTTTTTAAAAAAATATCATTATTTCTACCGAATAAACAAACAAACAAACGAATGAAAAAACAATAATCATTTCATCATCGTCTGTTTTTTGAATATATAACTGTTAACAACTGAATTAAATCATTTGTTTTTTTTTTTGATTCAAGGATTCCAAAATCATACGGGTTTTCTCTGAATTTTTTGTGTATTTAATTTCAATGAAATGAAAAATGATTGATTGATTAGTAAATCAATCAAATGATGATGATGTGAAAACATCATTGATTCATCATGTAAATAAAATGCTACTGAATGTGAATATGATTTTTTTCATTCAGAGGCGAACATTCATTCATTCATTCATTCATTCATTCGAATCGATCAATAATGATCCAATAATATCATTTTCATAAGAGGGGAAACAAAAAGGGAAAAAACAAAATTCAAGGATTTATCAAGGAATAATAATATTTCTCATCAAAACATTATCAATTGCAATGAACTTGACTTTGAAATTATTCAGTGAAGAAAATAAAAGTATTAATATTAAAAAAAAACTTTTGTCAAATCATTCATCGAATGGTTGGCTGATTTTTTTTTTCTCTCTCTCTCTCTTCTCACTTTTATCCATCCTTATTTTGATTGGATTTTTGATTCAATCCATCTGTGAGGTTCAGTATCTATTTGATGGAAAATTTAAATGTTCTCGATGAATGGCTAAATTAAGCTGTTGGCCTTCAGCCACCACCATCATCATCATCATCAACAACAATACAATAATCATCAACCGACGCCAATCTACCGTTTGTGTGGATTCAACAATAACAACAACAACAACAAAATGACAAACAATATAACTGAATTGAAGTTTTATTTATTGTGTGTGTGTGTGTGGTTAGTGGATAGTTTTTTTTCTTTTTTGAAAATTTTAAATGGAAAGAGATAAGTTTCGAAAAGGTACCGTTGTGAACAATAACAACAACAAAATATTATTGAAATCCACATTTATATTCAAAATTGCCTTCACCTTCGCCTTGAAACAGCATCAACAACAACAAACAAACAAAATCTTTAATATTTTTTTTCATCATCAAAATGATGAATGAATGAATTTATTTTGAACTAACTTTGTTCTGATTTTTCTTTTCCAATAAAGAAAAATATAACCCGGCCAAATGACCGGAAGGAAATTCAATTTGTAACGCATTTTTTTGGAAATAATTTAATAAATCTTAATAAAATAATTTAATTTGGAAAACATAAAACAAACAAATTAATAAATATCGTACGATAATTTATCATAAAGTACAAATTAGGTATTAAAAAGTGGACCGATCTTTGATCTTGCAAAAAAAAACATATGACAATAAATAAATAGATTCACAAAAATAAAATAAAATAAAATAAAATACATTCAATGTTTATGTATTGAATGTGTGACAAATATCATTCACATTAAAGCTGATCATTCGAGTTTCTCATTCGTTTTTATTTTATCAACAAAAAAAAAATATGGAATGGAATTCTCATCATCAACGAGGCAAAACAAAAACAAATCAATGGCGTTTACCCAAATGACGTTTTTTTTCCTATTCACACTATCGTCGGAAGATTTTTTTGGCTCAAAGATCGATAATAATAATGTTTTTGTGTGCCTAAAACGATAACTGATGATCAATATAATCAGGAGATTATTCGTGACACTATGTTTTTGTTTTGTTTTGTTTTTTTAAAAAGGATTTTGTCATTTGGGACAAACAAAATAGTACATCACGAGATTTGTGTGGAAAAAAAATATCAAAATACATTTTTTTTGAAAAAAATCAATTTAATCATAGAATTAGACATTTTGCAGACATCGATTGATTTTTTATAATTATATTCAAATAATATCATATTTGAAAATGAAATGATTCCTTTTTTTGCTGTTGTTGAGCAATAATAACGAAAAAATATATGTACAATTTAAAACTATTATCAATATCATTAATTTAGGTTGATCATGATGATGATAATGTGTCGACGTAAACGGATTTTCTACCCCAGAAAAGAAAAGAAAAAAATAACTGATGATGAATATAATTCATTGAATGACTAAAGTAAGTTGACAGCTATGATGTTGTTCAATTCGATGCCAAAGCATCTTAGGATATGTCTTAGTATATTAGGATGTATGTGTGTGCTTGTTTTTTTGATCAATGTTTGATAAGAAGACGAAAGTATTTTTTTCTTTATTTATTTATTTACTTTTCTTGGTTTTTCGCCAAAATGTTTACGATAAAAGTGTATGATTTTTTTTCTTGTCGTCGTTTGACAAACGTAAATATCGATGATGACGATAATATGTCCATGACATGTAATTATTATTGTTGTTGTTGTTGTTGTTTGGTTCAAAGTAATCGATATCTTTGTGGTTTAAATTGGGAAAAACATTCTTGCTGTTGTTGATGATGTTAAAGATTCTTGATTTGAAACAATTTGGCCAAAAAAAAAATCGGAGAAAAAATGCCAATTTTTTTCTCGCTAGAAATAACATAAATTTTCCTTTCAAAAACTAAAAAAAGAGTAAAAATTAGACATTTCACATCATCATCAAAGTTGCTTTTTTCGGTTTTAGCCAACCAAATTATAATTGACAAAGCGGGTAAAACAAAACAAAAAAAAACTCGTATGATAATCCGATTTAGGTCGTCGATGTTTGTATTATCATTTTTCATTTTCATTTTCTCTCGGTAAACACTCAAAATTTCTGGCCGATTCTGTTGACAAGAAGATAAACTTTTTTTCTGTCTCCCTCCTCAATAATTAACTAGCTGTATCATCTCTTTCCCCTTACAATTCCTTTACAAAGACATCTTTCCTGTCACAAATGCTAAGATTTTACGAAAAGAGATATATACCTATTTTTTTACCAGAAAAAGAAAAAAAAATTTTGTCACAGATCATTTGATTCAAACGTCGTCTTTCTTTTCTTGATGATGATGTTGATGATAAAAAAAAGCGAGAATTTGCTTTACGCCCATTTAAAACCCATTTTTTTCATTTCAAAACAAAAAAAAAATCATCCAAATCAAAAATGAAAAATTATAATCCAAAATGATTCTTATTAGTTTTTTATGATTTGAGATCTCAAAGAAAGAAAAAATGATCATTGATGATCAAACAAAACAATGATGATCATTGTAGAGAGACAATGGCAATGTTTTTTTGTCTGATGTCGAAATGTTTGACAGAAGAATTTTTTTTTTTTTGTTGCACATGGTTGTTTTGTTTACCTCGAATGAATAAAGAATCTTATGATTTCCGGTTATTCTCATGATCAACATCCATTCATTCATCAATGAAAAATGAATATCATTGTTGTTTGTATCATTGACAAAAACAAAAAACAAAGATGTTTTTCAACAATCTCAAGAGACAAAACAAAAACAAGAAAATTCATTGCATTCATATTTTTCTAATTATTTCATCATTTAAACGATATTATTCATCATCATCATCATCATGTTGACATGATTCCAATTCTTCATGGTGATGATGATGATCATCCAATTTGAATTTAATCT